CCAGGAGCTTCGTCGAATACGCAGATCATCGGCAAACCTGAATGCACGTATTGCTCTCCCCTGGGCTACTCGCCCCCGCCGTCGCCTCTGAAAAACTCCCGCTTCGTGAGCACAGCTCGGCCGGCCCCCCGGCGGGAGCCGAGCTGGACCGCGTGCGCACAAAGGCGGAAGAGGCCTTGCGGCTTCGCCGCGCCGGCTACGAAAAGCAGGGGGCTCGCGCGTTCCGCCAGCCGGCCCCGTATCCTCGCACGGGAGTGTCCCAGGACGCCTCGATGTGGCTCGATGACGGATGCAGATGGAACGCAAATCAATACGGATGCAGAAGAACAAATGGCAAGCCGTGCGGCGCACCTGGAAGCAAGCCCTCACGCACAGAAATACACAAGGACTCATTGGGCGAAAACTGACTGGAGTAAAGCGCATACGCCTGGAAACGCGAAGCGTCCCAGTGCTACTGCAACAGACCCCAAATAGAAACCCTGGTCACGACGTGAGCGTTTGGCACACGCCTCCGGCAAAACGATTAGGCCGCTGCTGACGTCCTCATCATGTGAACCCCTGAAAACAAATCCTGCTCGCTCCGACCACTCAACGCACATGCTCAAACAACGGACGCCGCTGCCCGTACGTCCGTGAAAGATTCTCAGCTACACTTTACCAGAGCAACCCGTTCCTGACTCTCGAGACCATATATGCGAGACGCCGCAGTTTGGGGCCCCAGTGTTCCGCGCGGTGTGGCCAGGTCCATGGCCTGACGTCACCCGCCGATGCCATGCCCACGACCAGGACCGAAGGCTCGTGTGTAGGAGCGGTGGACGGAGACCAGAAATTGCTGCATGATCGCGACCGTTTGGCTCCCCGGCGAAGCGCGATACAGGATATGTGAGTTGCCTCAGGTAGCGTGGATCCTCCTTCGCCCACGCCCTCCACTCCTCATGTGCCTCGCCGGAAAAGCAGAAGAGTGGTCACGCGATGATTGCTGCTGCGACCGACAGCACTGACGGAGTTTTGTGGTCCCCTGCCGCGGTTTTCAGCCAAGACACACGCTTGGCACTTGACTGTCACGTCGCAGCGCGGCATTGTCAGTCCGCACACGCGCTGTTCAGCAGGCCGGGGCGTGACACGGCATGACGAGCGGCCGCGGGAAAAGGAAAAAAGACGGGGGGCACCGCGCTCACGCGGCGAGGCCGCAGCGGGGCGCAGGGGGGCGGCCAGGCCGGTGCAGCACCCCTGGCAGCGGGCGCGGGGCGGCATCACATCCGCACCAAGGGCGGGGCACAGCGGCCGCAGCGCAGGGCCGAAGACCGACGAGCGAGAGGAGCGGAGGCCAGAGCAGCAGAGCTGGCGGCGGGCCCCGGCTAACTGGGGGGGGGGGGGCCAGGTGGGACGGCTGCTGGGCGGGCTGCGCAGGCAGTGGCTGCAATGGCTCACCGGGGGGGGGGGGCGGAGGCAGAAGCGCGTCCGCAGCGCGAGCCCGGGCGGGGGGCCCCGGAGGGGGGGGGCGGGAAGGGAGGCCGGACGTGGCCATGCCGGCCAGCGGGGGCAGCTGCGAAGCCCCGGCGGCCGCGAGAGCGGCAGCGTGGGACCGGGAGCCACGCAAAACCCAGACCCCCGACGTCATGATTTTTTCATGACGTCGACCCCCAGAGATCTCGACCCATTCCCCGGGACCGGTTTTGCATCCTGAGTCGTTGTTTGACGCTCCCGAGGCCCGGTGAGGGGCCCCGGAGGCTAAAAAATCGGAAAAACCTCCCGTCATGATTTTTTCATCACTCGAAGGGGTCTGGGAAGGCCGCGGGCGGGCCGGGCGGGGCGGGGGGGAGCCGAGAGGCAGCAGTGCCCGGCCCAGGCCGCGCGCACGCAGCACCGCCGAGGGCAGGCGGCGCCCCGGCCGCAGCGGGGGGGGCCTGGGGTGAGGCTCCCAGCGCCGAGGCGCGGGGAGGCCCCAACGGGGAGGACAGCGCCGCGGCGACGGGCCCCCTCCTCCTCCTCCTCCTCCTCCTCCTCCTCCTCCTCCTCCTCCTCCTCCTCCTCCTCCTCCTCCTCCTCCTCCTCCTCCTCCTCCTCACCTCCACCTTCCCTCCCCCCTCCTCCTCCTCCTCCTCCTCCTCCTCCTCCTCCTCCTCCTCCTCCTCCTCCTCCTCCTCCTCCTCCTCCTCCTCCACTTCTCCCTCCTCCTCCTCCTCCTCCTCCTCCTCCTCCTCCTCCTCCTCCTCCTCCTCCTCCTCCTCCTCCATCCTCCTCCTCCTCCTCCCTCCTCCTCCTCCTCCTCCTCCTCCTCCTCCTCCTCCTCCTCCTCCTCCCAGCGCCGAGGCGCGGGGAGGCCAAAACGGGGAGGACAGCGCCGCGGCGGCGGGCCCCGAGGCCCCGAGGTGGGGCGCAGGCGACACCCCAAGGGCTGAACCTGAACGGCGTCTTGCGTCTTCGTTATTTTTCGTCTCCCCTCGCTCTGGTCTCGAATCCGCCCTTACCGCAAGACGAGGTCGAAGCGAAAACGGCCCACGAGATCGCCAAAAACACCGCTTGGGTCCAGCCCTGCGACACCCAGCACGCCCCCTGGGCCAGCAGGCGCCGGGGCGGGCCAGGCCGGCACGCGTGGCGGCGCACAGCAGGAGCTCGGCCACAAGAAGCCTTCCACAGAGAAACCCAACCCCGCGACCCCAGGACGCCCATTGATATTTGGTGAGGGAACGTCACGCTTTCCATAGCAAAACCATCGAAACCCTGGAAACCCAGGGGGGCCCTGGAGGCAAGCAGGGCGTTTCTTGGCATGGGTTTTCACTGTACGCACACGCTTGGCACATGCAACTAGAAGAATTACCACGGCACCTTGAATGTCTTCAATACACCTCCGACTGCAAATCACGCGGGCCCTAAATGCTTCACGCTCACGCTTTTGAACAGCGGGGACCACAGCCAATGCGTCCACGAACGACTCTCAACTCAACCGTGCGAAACGCTTCGCCAGAAGCGAGACGTCTCATGCTGCCTGGCTGCACTGGCACGGAGGCGGGGCATGCCGCACGCAGCTGGATGAGAGCAGATGTCGCCAAGAACCCATTGTGAACCAGAATTGAGTCTGATCAGAAAAGCGAGCAGTAAGGGATCAGACGCATCGGGGACAGATGCGCGGGAGGAGCAAAAGAACAGACGTGACGCGAACGCGCGGCTTGCCCCTCACCTCTCGTCTCTACAACATGATGAGTACCACTCTCCCCATCCATCTTCTACTCATCCTTCCGCGCATACTCTTTCACACACAAGAATTCAGGCATTGGTCTGCCATGTGTGTGGTTTTCCACTGGGAGCATGTTTGGTGTGGGCTATCCCAAGACAGTGGCAGCGGATTCATGTCTCCCATGCTTAGCATAGCCCGAACAGGGGAAAACTAGTGAAGGGGTACCGATATCGGTACCTTCTCCCACTGACTTCCCTCCAGGTCGCCTACCCGCCGTTCCAGCAGCCGCAGGTTGTGCTCGGCGGAGGAGCCGGCCACGGCCGTCTGCAGGTCGCCCGAGGCGAACCGGACGTCCTCGAGGCTTTTCCGGAGGTCCGTGGTGGCGAGTCGGAAGCGCCGCACCAGGCGCGTCACCTGTCCAAGGCGCCGCGAGAGGCGTCGCGCGATCGGCGTGTTCTGATACCAATTCCCACCTCCCCTCGCTGCAAAAACAAAACAACAACACAAAGAAAAAACGGCGGGAGTTCTTGGCAAGGAACCGAACTCCGACGTGTTTTTCCCGGCCCCGCTCTGGAACTCGCACAGGAGAGCGGATCCTGGTGTATACGGGATCCTGGTGCATACGTTTGTCGTTGTTTGTTTCCCTGGGGAAAGCGGGATGGAAACAGACACCACACCACCCCGACGTCGTTCCCGACCCTCAAGAAGTCTTGGGATTGAAAAGCAACCCGCCACTGGTGATGCATATGCTCCAGTTGCCGACAACTTGCGGCCTCCTGGGCCCAGGACTCTCACCGGGCCCCAGGACTGGGTAGTCGAAGCCAATCTGGCGCCAATCTGGCAGGCCCAATCTGGCAAACGGGGGCAATCTGGCGAGGGAGCCAACGCGAATCCAGTCTGGCGAATAACCCAAATCATCCAGTTTGGCCGGGCCAGATTGGCCCTTGGGGCCCAATCCAATCTGACAGTCTGGCCTTCGACTACCCAGCCAGGACTCTCACCGGGCCCCAGGACTGTCAGCCGACGGCTGTGCTTGAAAGACTGTCCCCCGAAGGCAGTGGCCCGCGGGCCTCCGGGGCTCCACGCCTGCGGGAACACACCACGGCGTCGGCGCTCCGGATCTCCGAAGCGCCGCGATCGGCGCGGCTCGTTGCCACCGTCTTGCCTCTCTGGGCGGGCCCTCGAATCGCCATTTCCGGTAACGGTCGTGACTGAAGGGGCCCTGGGACACACGAATCAATACACACACTAATAAGAGCATCCCCCAGATTTTCCCATATGTTCTGGCTTTTTGTCTTCCCCCCCATGTCCCAGATGTTCCCATATTCTCTGGGAAATCGACGATTAATTGTGTCTGTGTGCTTTTTCCCCTCCTGAAATCTATACCACGACGCCGGAGCTCGGGATCTCCGAGGCGCCGCGATCGGCGGTGTCTTGTTGCCACCCTCGGGCCTTTGTGGGGGGCCTTCGAAATTGTCTTTGTGTCACCACTTCTGGTCCTGGCCGCTATACCCACGGGGAGAAGGGGGGGGCTGTGCTCCCCCAGCCGTTGTGGAACTCCTCGGTGGATGGGAGAGAAAGAAGGAGGAGGAGGAGGAGGAGGAGGAGGAGGAGGAGGAGGAGGAGGAGGAGCAGGAGCAGGAGATGGAGGAGCAGGAGATGGAGGAGGAGGAGGAGGAAAGAGATGGGTCAGTTCCTGGTGCCCGAGCAACGCAGAAGACAAAAACAGAAGCAAGAGGAGAAAGAAGAGAATGCCTCTTGAGGCCCTCTTGGAGCCTCCTGTGGGCATCCTGGGGGCATCCTGGGAGCCTCTTCTTCTTTTTTGCGCACAACACGGCAAAACCGAGGTACACGGAGCGAGTATGCCGCATTCCAGAGCCCATCATGTATCTAGGACTTCGGGAACCACTCGACACAAAATGCGGGCAAACGCATCCAGCGTGAGCCCGACCCGCGGACGCATGCCTCGGGAAAATCAAACAGTTACTGAAACTGAAAGCATAATAAATCAGCAGGTCTGCCAGCGTGGACCCCTAATCTCGAGCTGTAGAGTGGGGAGCAGAAAACAAAAAACACAAACAGCAAGAAGCACCATGTTCGGGGCCCACGCTGGCTGTCATGTGACAGGGAACTTTGATACACCTCCCTGTGCCATAGCGCTTGCAAATCAGGCTTCTCACTGCCAACGACTGCCAGGAAAATTGGAGAGCAGAGCTGGACACGTCTGTCGGGGCCAGACTTCGTGCCTCCCTCCGACCAGCCGATGTACAGGCTTCGGGCACCGAAGAACGACGGACGTGTGCTGCCTGCTGCCAGGTGCGGAGGAGGGGGAGGTCCACGAGGGGGCCATTAGGCGGGGAAAGGGTCCACAACCAGAGAGGAGGGAGCGGGAGGAGAAGGAGGAGGAACTAGGGATGCAAGGAGTCACGGATGCAAATAACGAGGACCGAACGCAAGAGCCTTACCGCGAAGCACAAGTGCCAAATACACCGTTGGCTCGAGGAAGAGATCTAGTCTGTACCACTCCCGCACAGCAATGCAACCGTGAACTTTCACGAGGCTGCTTTCAACAGCTCAGGGGTCGCCTGTTACATTGCTGACAGCTGCCTACGCAGGCATTTTGCTCGCGAGGAACTCAACAATAGAGTAGCCTCCAGCGCTCTTCAGCATGCCCGACGACGGCACAGCTGCACAGAAGTCCTCGACGTACTGCTTTGCGCGGTCAGGAAGCTTCAAGCCAATTGTTGACTCCACCGCTGGCTGCAAACCAGCAATCAGGAATGGCACAGCCTTGAAGTCGGCGATGCTGAGCTTGTCACCGTTCACGAACTTGCCCTGCAGGAAATGCTTGAGCCAGGCATCCAATAGCTCGCTGTACTTATCGTTCGCAGCCTTCTGGTCTGCTGGAGCTGAGGTGAACCCCAAAACGACGTACACGGTGTGGTAGTGGCCTTTCTCGTACACCTCAGTAGTGAAAGAGTCAAGGGCGAAATCGATCTTGCCACACGCGACTGGGTCGTCCACAGGGTAGTACTCGGGCTTGTACTTCATCGCGATGTAGCGGAGAATGGCAGTAGACTCGCCGATGCTGACACCTCCATCCTTCATGGTCGGGATGTGGTGGAACGGGTTCATGGCCAGAAACTCAGGTTTCATCTGCTCGCCTTTCATGATGTCGCACATCTCCAGACCACCCTTCCCACAGTCCATGGCGAGCAAAACTGGACCCATCGTGTTCTGCGAGACTGGTAATCCGAATACCTTCATACCACCCGAAGGTTCTGGTGTTGGCTCCGCGATATACTCCACCTTAGTGTAGCTGTCGACTGCTGCCTTCGCATCTGGCGCTTTGCTTGCAAGGAACTCCACAATAGAGTAGCCTCCAGCGCTCTTCAGCATGCCCGACGACGGTACAGCTGCACAGAAGTCCTCGACGTACTGCTTTGCGCGGTCAGGAAGCTTCAAGCCAATTGTTGACTCCACCGCTGGCTGCAAACCAGCAATCAGGAATGGCACAGCCTTGAAGTCGGCGATGCTGAGCTTGTCACCGTTCACGAACTTGCCCTGCAGGAAATGCTTGAGCCAGGCATCCAATAGCTCGCTGTACTTATCGTTCGCAGCCTTCTGGTCTGCTGGAGCTGAGTGACCCCAAAACGAGTACAGCGTGTGGTAGTGGCATGTCTCGTTCACCTCAGTAGTGAAGAGTCCAGGGCGAATCGATCTTGCCACACGCGACGGGTTCCGGCAAGTGGTGAGTACTCGGTCTTGTACTTTCATCGCGATGTAGCGGAGAATGGCAGTAGACTCGCCGATGCTGACACCTCCATCCTTCATGGTCGGGATGTGGTGGAACGGGTTCATGGCCAGAAACTCAGGTTTCATCTGCTCGCCTTTCATGATGTCGCACATCTCCAGACCACCCTTCCCACAGTCCATGGCGAGCAAAACTGGACCCATCGTGTTCTGCGAGACTGGTAATCCGAGTACCTCGACTTTGCTTGGTGGTGGCGACGACTCCTTGACCGCGGGGTTCGCAACAGACTTCTTAGCTCCCGAGCTCGCACAAACTCCCATGCTTGAGACGGTGTACGCTCGTAAGCAAGTCCTCTGATCGGCCTTGGATTTGCTACGGGCGTGTAGCTCGAGCAGAAGACCTTGAGCCAAAATGGCTTGAGCCAAAATGGCTTGAGCCAAAATGGCTACGGAGGGGGCATCCTGGGAGCCTCTTGGGCATCCTTGGCGCCCTGGGTCATGGTAACGCCTGGGCGGGGTGGGTCACGTCTCGGCGGGGGTGCGCCGCGATCGCCACGGCACGCACGCGAGCACCAGCATGTAGTTTGGGGGGGGATTCCAGGACGCACCCCCCCACGTACCCAGACATCTGGCCGCTCCAATTTTGTAGATGCGTGGGCCCCCGAGGTCCAGACCACTTCCCCGGGGAGGGTTCTTCGTCCAGAACCATTTCGTTGACGGCCCCGAAGCCCAGCAGCGGCCCCCAGAGGCCGAGAACGGACCACTACCCGCCGCTCCAACTTTTCTG